GACAAGGAGGCTATTTATGAACTTTCTGTCTGTCGAGTCACGGCCAAGGAGGCTGTTTATGAACTCTTTGTCTGTCCAGTCACGGCCAAGGAGGCCATCTGTGAACTCTCTGCCTGTCAAGTCATGGCCAAGGAGGCTGTTTATGAACTCTCTGTCTGTCCAGCCACGGCCAAGGAGGCCGTTTGTGAACTCTCTGACTGTCCTGTCACGGTCAGGATGACGTCTCAGAAATCTCTCCCAGCTCTGCTTTGGTTAAGAAGCCCGGTTATGAACCTGTTGTCCCACCCAACCTCCCTCTCCCTCCTCCTCTTCCTTTCATGTTCTTCATTCTGTCTCCGCTGTTTTCTGTCTGTCCCTCAGGTCATCCTTCGAGGGTGGTTAGCGGTCAGGATTCGCCTCGGGACAGTCAGCCTCCAGCTGCACCAGAGTTGGAGGATCCCAGATCTCCATCTCCGGCCTTCGAGACCTGGACTCCACTTTGGTCCGTCGACCCGTTGGTGTCACCTTGGCTCAAAGCTCCGTCGTCTCCACTGTGGTCTCAGGAATTCGCTTCGGGACAGCCAGCCTCCAGCTCACCAGAGTTGGAGGATCCCAGATCTCCATCTCTGGCCTTCCGAGACCTGGACTCCACTTTGGTCCGTCGACCCGTTGGTGTCACCTTGGCTCAAAGCTCCGTCGTCTCCACTGTGGTCCGTCAGTCCACTGACTCCGCCGGGCGTCCTCGTTCCTCCGGCTCCACCTTGGTCATTCATCGACCCGCCTTCGCCTCAGGACTACACTCCTCTGGCTTCGCCTTGTCCCTCCGGCTCCGTTGGGCTCCTCTCTCCCTCCGGCTCCGCCTTGGTCCTCGGTTGCTCCGGCTCCACCGCGGCCTTCCGGATCCCCACCTGTGCCTCGGTCGCCAGAGCCGTCGGCTCCACCATGGCCCGCCAATCCCTCAGTGTCACCCCGGCTCTTCGGCTCTCCGTCTCCGCCTTGGGCTCCCCTTCCACCGGCTCCGTCTCCGTCAGTCAGACCCCTGATACCTCCAGTGTCACCCCCTTCATGGTTCCTCCCTCCCGTCAACTCCACCATGGACTGATAGTGGAGCGTCTGGAAGCCGCTCCTTAAGGGGGGGCTCTGTCACGATCACTAGCTGGAGTGCCCGTGAGCTTCACTAGAGGGCACTCCATCCCAGACTTCTACCACTCCATCAAATACTTCATTTCCCATAATCCTTTGCCCAGACTCATCAACAACTCATTTACCCTGTCTGCTCACCCTATATAAGTCTGGTTTAGTTTATCATTCTTTGCAAAGTCTTGTAAGTGTTACACTGCATCTCTGAGCGTTTCTCCTGTTTATATGTGTCTTGGTTTTTGGACTCTTAGCCTGCGTTCTGAATTACCCTTTTGCCTGTGTTCTCTGCCTTGTTGTTTAGTCGGACTGATTGCCTGTGTGTTGACCCTTGCCTGCTTCGATTCTGGACTTTCCTAATAAACACTGCATTTGGATCCTCTCTGAGAGCAGTTCCGTAACAATAACTGAGATGACTCCCCATTTAATAAGTGGTGATATTAAACTCCCCATTTAAGTAAAAAAGAAAAGATGTATATATTACGCGCATAGAGGGGGTGTATATTAAATTAATCTTTAAGGTTGAGAGCATCTTCACAAGATTTGAATCCTTTTTCACCAAACATTTTAATGCATGGAAGCATCTTAAAGCTTGAGAGGATTACTACGGCAGATGCTTAGTAATTATTTTGACACCCATGGCCAGTCATTGATTGACTAGTGTGGCATCAGGACATCTAACATGTGAGTAACACAGCACACTGCATCAACAACAAATCAGTGTTCCAATACTTAAAAAATCTCAAATGTAAACTCACTGAATGCAGCTGAGAAAAGCTGTTGTTATTTGATTGTGTCTCTGGGAACACATCCATCCTGTGACTGCTCCGTTATTTATCAAACATTCATAAGGCATTCTACAGGAAGACAGACCATAGATGGGCAAACAAAACAAAAGAGGAAGTGCCAGCACTGAATGCATCATTTCTGGACTTGTTAGAATAAATACTGATATATATAAATCTTGACACTGTTACCAAGGTTTCAGTGCTATGCAGTGAGGAAACCTCCCAATAGCATCCTTCTTACACTTCCCACGCAGTCTAACAGGCTCTCTGCATTGAGATTGAAACCCACTGTGCTCATCCAAGTGAACAGAATTCATTCAACCATACTGGTGTTAGGTCCACGTGCCATCTATAAACACCATCTGCTGCAACACACTCCGTTGATACACACACGTTTATTATGCTTTGGGGTGCACAAGAAATCAAGACGCATTATAAGTCAACATCTTGATTTGACTATATAAATATATAATATGCTGTGTGCCTGCAGATTGTGGCTCTGTTTTCCCTCTCTCTGCAGATATGGGACAGAGGCTCACATGCACACAGCCACATGCCCTGATTCACCCTCGACTGTCCCGAGAGAGAGAGAGCGTGCACGAGTTACTGGAGAGATGAGATCAGGGATTTAAGAGTGCACAAAATAACATCCACACCTGCACTTCATGTTATGTAAGAGCCTTGACTGCCTCACTGTATGCTGTAGGATAACAGCAGCAGTGAGCGGACAGGCAGAGCAGATGCTGTGTACATACACAGGGAAGCCTACGCTTAATACAGCAGGAGAAACAGAGAAGAATCTGACATTTTTAGGAGCTATGGGCATAAGCTTGGATGCACTAAGCTTGGATGAGCCTGGATATTCACAGACACCTCAAGGAAAAGGAGCTATTTGCAAGATTCCTTCTTGTGGCACTATGAATGGATTATAATCAGCAATGTTTAACTTGCTACGCGGAGTATTGTGATCACCTCAGGACAAATCTGCTGTTTTGATCCTTGTCCTGCGGCCCCTGGGGGCCTGTGATCATGACATCAGCGTGGTCCTTGATGTGGGTTCTGTGTGGACTGATGGTGTGGTTTCCCCACACTCACGCAGCCTCAGTGAGCCCCAATCTGCTCATGACCACCTCTGATCCAACCACTGACGAACAACCAATCAATCAAGAGCATCCGACTGAACCTACAGATCCACCCAGCAACAACACAGGTGAGAACAACTGAGATAGACAGACAGACAGACAGACAGACAGACAGACAGATAGATAGATAGATAGATAGATAGATAGAACTTGTTTTGTGTGTACTGATTATGTGATTTCCTCATATTCACGCAGCCTCCGTGAGCCACAATCTGCTCATGCCAACCTCTGATTCAACGACTGACGAGCAACCAATCAATTCAGAACATCCGACTGAACCTACAGATTTATTCAGCTACAATGATACAGGTAAGGTGTGAGGTTTTATGTATATCTTGTATATCTACATTCTATGGATTATTAATATGTATGAAAATTAAATAAAAAAACATGGTTTCTCCACATTCAAGCAGCCTTAGTGAGTTCCATTCTGCTCATGACCACTTCTGATGCAACAACTGAAGCACAATCAACCACTCCAAAACTTCAGAATGACTCTACAGATCTGCCCAGCAGCAACAACACAGGTGCAAACAACTAAAGACACTGCAGCAGACACACGGACAGACAGATAGACAAAAAAGACAGACAGACAGACAGACAGACAGGCAGAGACAAACAGACAGACAGAGACAAACAGACAGACAGACAGAGACAAACAGACAGACAGACAGACAGATAGATAGATAGACAAAAAGAGAGACAGACAGACGACAGACAGACAGACAGACAGACAGAGAGCTCAGCCTCCGTGAGCAGATGTCCTGATAGACAGACAAATATAGAGAGATAGAGAGATGGACAGACAGACAGACAGACACTTTTAGCACTTCATATATACAATTTCTTCTCACCTGTGTGCAAAAACGTCTGACATGTCAGCTGATGGCCTAAGTGCACTTTCACAGGTACTTGATAATAGGAGAACTGTGTGGAATTAATCAATATTTGATAAAGGTCCTTATCTTTATTTAATCAGTTGATATTCCAAAAGCAGGGCGGAACGGGGGGGATTTGATAGTTAGCTTGGATGGGCAAGAAGCTGGATAGGGAAGACAGTCACTGATATGCTGGCACAGATACAAAGCAACATATACTCTCAGAGCATTATGCAAATAGAAGACAGACATGTACACATTAATGAAAATTCCCTGTGGTTCACCACCGGATACAAAGATGCGTGAGATGTCTCACTGCAAAGGAAACAGATGTCTGCGGTGGTGACAGCAAGATGCATGCGGCAATAAAAAATCTATAACATATGCAAAAAATGTTGGAACTGGAATGATACAGTAGCAATAATTTCCTCAGAGGGCCTCATGATGATGCATTTATTGGATTTAAAAGCTTACTGAATAAATTCAGCCATGTGTCATGAGTCAATGTACTATTTAATCACAGTTTAACACATAAAATATTCAAAGCCTGATTGTATTTATCTACACTTATGTGTGTCCATGTGTTCCTCCAGGACTTGCGTGTATTTCTGTGCTTCCCCCACGACGGGGATCATACTACGTGGAGCATGGCACAGGGGTGTCTGTGGGCTCCATGCTTGTGTTCTGGTGTAAGGAGGGCTACCAGCTGGTTGGCCATGAGAAAATCACATGCATCCTACATGCAGGCGTCCCTCGATGGAGCAGCTACCTGCCAGTCTGTGAGAGTAGGGCAGACATTTTATCATCTTTTATTCAAAGAAATCATCCTAATTATCCTAATATGTGACCCTGGACCACAAAACCAGTCTTAAGTCGCTGGGGTATATTTGTAGCAAAAATACATTGTATGGGTCAAAATTATA